CAGGAGAAACAAGCTTGACCACTATGCCATCATCAAATTTCCCCTGACCACTGAGTCAGCTATGAAGAAGATAGAAGATAACAACACACTTGTATTCATTGTGGATGTCAAGGCCAGTAAACACCAAATTAAACAAGCTGTGAAGAAGCTCTATGACATTGATGTGGCTAAGGTCAACACTTTGATTAGGCCTGATGGAGAGAAGAAGGCCTATGTTCAATTTGTTCCTGATTATGATACTTTGGATGTTGCCAACAAAATTGGGATCATCTAAACTGAGTCCAGCGGGCTAATTCTAAATATAAATTTTTCTCACAAAAAAAAAAAAAAAAAGATGTTGTTGTGTACCGTGGAGTCGGAACCGACCCATAGTTGACCCTTCGACAGGTTTTCAGAGGCAGTTAATCATATGAGGGGAGACTGCCCTTCCTCCCGCGAAGCAGCTCGTGGCCTTGAACCTTTGGGATCGCAGGGCAGCTTCTTGCCACTAAGCCACCAGAGCTACGGAGTAAAGGATAGAATTGCGCTAACCAAAAAGCTGAACTGCTCCTGCAGTTCAAATCCACTAGAGGATCTGTGGGAGAAAGATGGGCAGCCTCTTCCCATCCCTAGTTTCCTCAGAAACCCATGGAGGGTCAGGTGAGCGGAAACAGGCTCCCCTGCGGAGTTAGAGTATGTATGTGCCACACTTGGTGAAATTATAGGTTTCGCATGAGCACAATTAAGCACTCTGGGTTTCCCATTCTTCTCAATGTTAGCTATGACTTGTTATGATCCACACAAGTCAAATGCCTTTGCATAGTCAATAAAGCATAGACATTCTTCTTGTATTCTTTACTTTCAGCCAGAATCCATCTGACATCAGCAATGATAACCCTGGTGCCAAGATCTCTTCTAAATCCTGCTTGATCCTTTCTAAATCCTGGTAGTTCCCTATCTACGTGCTGTTCTAGCTGTTTTGAATGATCTTTAGAAGTATTTTCCTTTGCATGTGATATTGTTTGATAGATTCCACATTCTGTTGGATCACCTTTCTTGGAAAATGGAACAAATACGGATCTCTTCCAATCCATTGGGCAGACAACCGTCCTCCAAATTTCCTGGCATGGACTGGTGAGTGCATCCAAGGCTGCATCTGTTAATTGAAACAAGTCACTTGGTATCCCATTGATTTCTGGGGCCTTATTTTTTGCCAATGCCATCAAATGCAGCTTCCACTTCCTCCATTACCATTAGCTCCTGCTCATAGTTCTTCTTGAAATTTTTCTGTCAGTTCAGTGTTATTTGAGAAACTAGACTCTTCAAAGAGGAATGTGGCATCAGGATCAGAGGGAGACTCATCAATAGTTAAACCTGCGTGATGCAGATGACACAACCTTGCTTGCTGAAAGTGAGGAAGACTTGAAGGGGGCAATGGTAGCTCAGTGGCAGAATTCTTAACCTCCACAGAGCTGGGATTGTTCAAAGAACTCCCTGTTCAGCCAATGTACCGTATGTGAAGCCACCATCCTATTGGTTAGTGGAGGCATCCATGCTGCTATGATGCTTAACATAGTGTCCAGACTAAGAAAGGCTTGTCTACTTTGGAAAACCGCTTATTGAAAACCTTATGGATCACAAAAGTTCACCTGCAACAGATCATGAGATGATGCAGGACAGAAGAGCATTTTGCGTCACTGTGCATGGGGTCCCCATGAGTCTGGGATTAAGCACAGAATAACTGAAAGCAAAAAAATAACAAAGATGTCTGTTGTGACCATGACTCATAGTGACTCTACGCGTAATAGCTCTGAGCCTTGCTCTATCCTGAGTCTGTCTCTGACAAAACTACCCCCATTCCTCCAGCTACTGTGTCAATTTATCTCATCTGAAGTCTTTCTCTCTTGTGCTGTCCGTCCACCTTTCCAAAGACTGGTCCCTTCCAAATCCTTGCCTCCAAGGAGAATCTTGGCTTCATCCTCTATAGGACAGACATGCTAGTTCTTTTTGGCAGTCAAAGTTATTATTTCTCTCATCTTTGGCCATCATCCACCTCTCTGATGCACAAGTAGTTGTGTAGACCTTGGCCTGGACCAGGCACATCTTAGTCTCTAGACTAACATCATTGCTCTTTAGGACTCGAGAGGTCTTGGACAGATTTCTAATGCAATTAATCTTTTGATTCCAACTGCTGTGCCAAGATTGTGGAATCAAGCTGAAACTAGCTCAATCTCTTTTCACTTTTCAATCTATGACAATGCTGCAAATCGGCCCAGTGGTGAGAATTTTGTTAGGAGGGGTGAGTCCTTGGGAAAAAAAGACGCTTGGGAAGGTGCAGACCTTCAAGGAGGTGGGCTCAAAGCTATTCAGCTCTATTGTTCACAAGGTTGTAGTCACTTAACAGTTGACATTTACAATCCACACCCGCATCTTAAGCAGTTGCCAATTATGTTAGACTAGTCAGTTCTGACTCAAAATTCCATTGAGGCAAATTACATTTGCTACAGTATTCTTAATAAAAACCAGGGACAATGCAGTATTCAAGCACTTTATTAAGTCAGGGAAACTCCATATTGTTGAACATACTAGCTTGTTACAAGTGGACGTCACTTGTTTACAAAGTGAAAGCTGGCAGGTCTAGCTTCTCATCTTCAGCAGTGAACAATGGACAGAACAATGGACAATAAATGTTATAGAAAATTTAGAACAGAATCATGATAGATCTCACACAATTTGAAAATGCACATATATCCTTATCCATAAAAATGACCAGCTAGATACACATTTCATTCAGGTATATTAACTATTGCCACTGACTGGCTTGTTCGATTAAAAATAACCCAACCATAACCACAGAGAAGAGGTTTCAAGGAAAAGTACTTTGTTATATCTCCGTGACCCTTCCTATGCTGTCAAGTCACAATACTTTTCTATCCATTTTAAACCCAAGAGCCCCCATTGACTTTTTTTCTTAGCTACACTAAACATCAGTCCTAGTGAAAACACTGAAAATATTAAATTGCTGTGAGTAAAGCAATCCAATGAGGCTGTAACAATCCAGAAACTATTTTTAACTTGGGTAAATGGCTTAAGAATCTTAAGAGAACTTAACATTTTCTTAGCTGGTAATTTTATTAAACAGTCCTAATAGCAATTTTATTCACCATGAGTAACGAAAAGTCTTTGCTCATGTAACCCAAATTTATTCATATCTACACTGAATTACAACCATCATGTACTAGAAGGTTCACAGACATGGCTAAAAACCCTTCTGTGGGCTTGACTACTTACTCCCTCAACACAATCACTCCCCTCTACCCCAAACTCCTAGACAAGTTCCTCCTGTTTTGGACCAAAAGTTCTGAACTAAATTTGTAAGACCATACATGCAAATAACAAGTTAAATTCATTTGTCAAAGGCAAAACAGCATTATAAATTTATTTATGTATAATCCTACTATACAGAAGATCACAAATATTACAAAAACCACCCACAAGTAGTTTTATTCTTATAGTGGTATGAATTTACCCACCAAATTCTTAATGTCTACAAGATATTTCTGCAACTAAAAGAGGATTACAGAGAGCTGGGAATACATGTTAGATACTAACTATCTTCAAACTTTGAAGATACCATTGCATGAAGAAAATTATGGGAAACACTGTTCCCGATAATTGTGTACACCCTTAGTGTAACATATGGAGATCACTGTCTCCGATATAGACACTGTGGTAGGCAAAAACTACCTTGTTCTTTAAACATTATGGAAGACACTGCTCCCGATAATGTGAGTTAGCTTTGTGACAAAGGTACTGGAAATTTTGCAAAACTGAAATTCACCTTAAGGTAAGCATTGAGTACTGCCACAGTAACATTTTTAATTTAGTCTCAATTCATTGCACTTTTTTCAATGATCATTTGTATTTAGTCAGCTAAAAGTGATTAACAACCCTGTTTAATTCTTCTGATATCTAGGTTTTTTCCTAATTATCTGGCTTTTGGATGATTTCTAAAACCCTCAAATTTAAAATCCATAAATGCAAAACTTCCAGTATCGGTTGGGTATTAGCAGATGCTGCTTTTATTTAAAAAAACAAAAAAAAGACGACAGTATAACTGTCATAATTATGGAAGGCACTGCTTCCGATAATTATCTTCTATAAAAAAACACCATTTATAGTGAACTCTGTCACTGATAAATAAACAATAAATATCTCAGTGCCAAAATGACAGAAAGCTTTTCCACAAGATTCATTAACACTTTGACCAAAATTTGGCAGTGTCCCTTTAAGTCTGACAAGCTGAGCCTGAAATTGAACACCTAAAAATTGGTTCTCTTTCAAAATACTTTGGAAGGAAAAAACAAAAAACAGAAAAGCTTACTATAGGGATAAAGACAGATGAAAAGTTTTTGGTGTCTGGACTTGAGATTAACATATTGAGGCCTTTCTCCTGTGATCACCAGTAAACCTTCTAGTCAGCTGAAAAACCAGAGTTTGCTGTGAAGAAGTCTCATTTCTTCTGATAGTGTACAGAAACGTAGAAGGCATGTATCTCGTTTAGAGAATAAGGCCTTAAAACCTACTTCTACCTCACATCAAATGAAGATAGAGGATCCAACAAAATTATCACCTGGCGCTTCCCGTTGGGGGACTACTTCTTCCTCTCACCCCAAGATGCCAGATATTTCTGTCCTTAAGATTTAGAACAATCATTGGTGCAATTACTTCTTATTCATAAATGTAATAGAAAGAGGCAGTTACCAGTAAAAAGCACTAGAAATTCTAAAAATAATCAATATTTTATCATGAATATTTTTAAAGTGGTTATTCACTTTAACTTGAAGTGCAGGTATCTACCCTGTAATAAAAGCTGCTACCTAGAGAGATGGAATAGTACCAAGATGACCAGGTAAATTAACGTTAGTTTTGTAGCCCAACTAAAAATTCAGTATACAAGTCTAGGAACAAGACAAGATTGCCCTGATGTTCTCATATCCATCACGGGATAGGCTGTGTGTCTAAAACTCATTGTCAATGTCCCAGATGTTCTCAACGATCGCATTTGCAGCACCCTGAATAGTCCAAGTAGCCAGAGCTAACTGGTTCCTCAAGAGTGTTTCATTAAAAGCATTTCTGTCTTTCCGACGCAGCCGCAAGTGGTCCAATATAGCTGACAGGGTGTGTGAGCCAGAGCCCCAGAAGATATGTCGGAATGGGGAATCCTTGGGAGACACGTAGGGGGAGAGAAAGTGATACTCCACCTAGAAAAACAAAGACAGGGTTGATTGTGTTGAGGAAACGATATGAGAGAGCAAAAGAACGAAGTTGTCCTCTATGTCAGATTTTTAAAATTTTTTTGGAGGGGGATAGGTGGTGATGAGGGAGGAGTTTGTAAGTTAAGGCCTCAATTGGTAGCTTAAAATATTCAACACTAGCTCAAATGTTTTCCAGCTTCGATACGCTGGTACAGATCTTGGCAGGCACTGAAAATCTGTGTTAGATTCTAATATAGGAAAAAGTAGTCTAGGTGGCTATTCTACTTTTCAGAAATGAGTTACCAGCAAATATGAACCAATATGAAAAATTTACTTACTTTCATGATCTGTTCATTCAGTTCCTTCATAATATATTTATTTGTTTTCTCAACCCTGTTGAGCTCTGTCGTTAGCCTGGAAGTAGCACGGGTAAAGTCCCCACGAGCAGAATACAGCCACTGCAGATTCAGACCCATGTCCTGAGGCAACAAAGAATTGTGATTAGGAATTGTATTTCTAACTTGTGACTCAATTTCAAACTCAATCCACTCTTTTCCCAGTAGATAATATCATTATCTGGTCTTACCATCATACAAAACCATCACCAAGGAATGAACTTTAAGATAATCCTATTAGTACATTGTTTCCAGTTTAATTTTTCCATGGGTAGAGTGGTACGCAAGGGAGAAAGAGCATCTCAATCATTATGATTCAAAAACACTTCAGAGCCTAGTTATTTCTTACTTAGTCTCATTTTATGAGACTAACGTACGCAGCTATGCTGGTGAAGGAAGGGCAAGCTCCTCCTGTGAGATTAACAGCCTCTGAAAACCCACTGGAGGGTCAGCTATGGGTCGGTTCTGAGGCTCCACCAAGGACCATGAATCACATACAGTGGACATATTATCAAGAGTCGATGGAACAACACAGATGTCAACAATGGGCGTGAGCAAGTAAGAGAAGGCGAAGATGCAAAGAGCAGGGAAGGGTTCAGATCCGTTGGTCACCCACAGGAGCTGTACTTGACTCGGCATCTAACAACCCTGAGTCCTAGTAATTGTGGGTTGCCTGGAATATCCAAAAAATAACAAGACAGCTAGCTCTTCATTCTGAAGTACTTTTTATGGTCTATCTCAAATCCCTATTCCAAAACAAAATCATATCTCACTCTTAAAAATGTACTTTTGGAAGGGGAGCTCTGGTGGCCTAGTGGAAAGAAGCTACATTGCAATCCCAGAGGTGCACAGTTCAAATCCATCAGATGCTCTGCCAGGGAAGGAGGGACAATCTCCTATACCAGTCAGATCTGATTTGATGGTACGTACACACACACACACACACACACACACTTTTTTAAAAAGTGTACAATCATGACCCATTCAGACAGAGCTGGAAATTTAAAAAAACTAAAAAAAAAAGGCCCAGTTTTAATAAGTGCTCACCTTTATGTCTCTTCTAAATTGGTTTATATCCTTCATAAATTTAAGTATTTGGTTGTTATACTGCTCATAGTCCAGTTTCAATTCAAGATCAAGGGTAAGTTTAATCACAAGGTGGCCAGCCACCTCCATAGCTGCAGTGGCCACTTTGTCAAACTTGGGAATGTTCTCTATCAGCATCTCATAGGTATCCTTTTGAGTTCCCAAATAAGGATATGCTTTTTCCTGGAAAAGAAAGCTTGAGTGTTACACCCATGTGGGTTCTAAAAGTCTCTGGTTAACAATAATCAAAGTGGACATCTTGCACCACAACAAGATAAAGGTAAACAACCCAATCACCAAATCGGCACAGAATATGAAGACACTTCATGAAGACAGATGGCTAACACAATTCCTAATAAAATTCCTAGCTGTAAGAGATGCAAATCTAAAGAACTATGAAGATACCATCTCACCCCAGTAACAATATTAACGTTCAACAGAGCAAATAACAAATGCTGGTGAAGTTGTGGAGAAACTGGAACCCTTATTCACTGTTGGTGGAGTGTAAAACGTTGCAACCATTGTGGAACGCAGTATGGCGCTTTCTCAAAAAGTTGCAAATAGAAATACCATTTGAACCAGCCAGTTCCACTACTGGGAATATACCCCAAAGAAACCATAACCACCACCCAAGCAGACAGATGCACACTCATGTTTACTGCTGCTTTGTTCACAAGAGTTGGAAACAACTCTAGTGCCCAACAACAAATGGATAGAGAAGCTCTGGCAATGGAGTACTGAATGCAGCACTGAAAAACAAGGAACTCATGAAATATTATACAAAATGGGTGACCCTGAAGACATTATGCTGAATGAAATATCTCAGCACAAATACTGTACAATGCCACTGTTATAAAACAGGACTTACAGGGGAGTTGGGGGGAAACTAAGAAAAGAGGGGATAAATAATGTACATGGCATTGAAACAGACAAGGGAGAGTATATATAAAAGGTTATCATTAAGTATTATCGGTATGACAAGTTCAGAATAAGAGCTGCATAGTAAAGTGGTCTGCGGGGGATGATTTTTGAAAGAACTTTATTCCCCAAAGAAAAAAGTGAACTGGGGGTGGGGGGTGCAGCAGGGAGGAAAATGTGCAATAATGAAGAGGAAATCAAAGTTCTTTATAAACTTACAATAAAATCTTAAAAAACTTAAAATGTGAGGTTAAGTGCTTTACAAGTTCTTCAGACTTACCTCAAAAAAGGAGAAAGAAACCGCTGGAATCCCAGAATATGTAAGAAAAGGGTAAGCGGCATCGTCAAAAGAAAGCTTCTCACTGCAAAGAAATGCAAGCTTATGCCTTCAGAAATTTTTCTGATGAACAATGCAACCCTTCCCATATCCACTAAAGAAAAAGCTCTCTGGACAATGCTGGAAATTCGCCTACTTGTGTAGGTGCTTGTTCATTACAACTTACACTTTGTTGACCCAGTTGCTGTCCTGATAGAGAGGGTTCTCAGTTACTGGATGGGACACCTGTAAAATAAAGACATTTACAGTTATAGTAACCTTTCTGAAATTAGTTATTCACAGGTCAATCACTGATGTCTCTGTTTTATGAGGCAACTTAAAATTATCTTCATTAATAACTTCTTAAGTTATTCGTATGAGGTACTAGCTCTTAGTTCAAAATTTTATTTATTCAAGGTGAATAAAAGACTTCGCCTTTTTAAAATTTGGCTTAACCATTTTAGGAGCCCTGGTGCAGCCACAGCGCACTTACTAACTCGAGTCCTCAAGCGGCTCCTGAGAGAACAAGGACCAGTCTCTCCTCCCAGTGACCTACCGCCTGGAACCCAGTGGAGGGTCAGGCAGGAGGGCACCTGAACTGTGTTTTTTAAAAAGCATTTCTGGTTTTTCCACATTTTCTTTACCAGCCTCCCTTTCCATTTGTTTACACTCAGAGCAAGGCTATGTTTGCGACTTTCTTGCACTCTTCACTTTCCCATGATACATGAAAGCTAGAGTTTCCTGAATTTCATCACTCCAATACACATTTGCCATTGGGCATATCTTCTCTTTGACCCAGTTCACTCCATTTAAAGTTATGGACATTCAGCTGTGGCCTTTATCCAATGCATGTACTAGCTGGTCTTGAGATATGGCGTGCAAGTCCATTTAAGTATTTTTTCACACTCCAATTCTAGAGGCAACTCCCTGTGGACACTCACATTGCAGCTCAGGTATCATGTCATTTTGTTACCATCCCTGTCACATACCACCCTCCCTCACTCCAGGGGCTTTAGTAAGCTGGGGACCTAGTAAATCCATGAGTCTGACTTCAGTAATTCTGACACAGAATTTCTAATAGTCATTAACAGTGTAAATATCAGTTACTACATAATCAGCTCACCTCTTGCATCATTTTATCAATAAGCGAAAATAACATTGGGCTGGCTGAAACCTTGAAGTTGCTGGCACCTACAAAAAAATTTAGGTTATTGCAATTTTTCACAGCAATCTCTACTACAGGAAAACAGTAACTAGACAACTATCCTATGAAATTCTGCTACTAATGACTAAAGGACTCAGGAGACAATTTTCTTAGTCACTGTGCTGATCCTTACTAAGTTAAACTTATGTTCACTATGTGAACTTTGTGACAAAGCTCTGGTCTGATTCCTGGCCACTGTAAATTGTTTTTAAAAACACCCAAAACAACAAAGAACAATTAAGGAGCAGCTTTAGAAACCTGTTTTAAGTATTTTCTAAAATTTTCTTGCTGCTAAGTATTTTCTAAATAGCTAACGAAAAGGATACTTACCAAGAACAGCTTTATCAAGGTTAATGTAAGTGAAAGCTTTCAAATGCAACGTTGAAAGGTAGCCCTAGAAGAGAAGGGGAAAATTAACGCCCTAATACGTATGAATGTATTTGTTCCACAGGGCAGCCATTAGGTATTCATTTCTAAATGCGTATTCTACTGAGTCTCAATATACAAAGACAAAAAACCAGTATAATCAAATCTGAAAGACCATGGTTTCTACAGAATAGCTTTAAGTCAAAGTTCAAATGCCAGTTCTGGGAATGATGTCTAAATACCTCTAGCCATTCTGTGGCACCCACAGCTCCAAAGTCTCCAGCACTCCAGCTGGCAAAGACGATGCTCCTGCTGGGTTTAAATCCATCTGAAAGGACAAAAAGTGAGTCTTATCCTTGAGAAAAGTTATAGACAGGCAGGCAAATGACTCGCTATAAAAGACAAACCAGAGGCTGCAAAACGGTAGATTAAAAAAAAATTGTAGGGGAGCTCTGGTGGCCTAGTGGCAAGAAGCTGTACTGCAATCCCAGAGGTACACAGTTCAAATCCACCAGATGCTCGGCCGGAGAAGGAGGGACAATTTCCTCCTGTACCAGTCAGATCTGATTTGACAGTACATGCACAAAAATAATAAAATTTAAAAAAAATTGTTTCCTTCCACACACGGAATTTCTGGCCAATTGTTTCCATTAGACCCTTGACCCTTTCCATGACACCAGAACTGGATGATGTTTGGCTAACATTACTGAATCTTTTGAGCTAAGGTTCTATAGAAGGATTCTGCTCACAGGGAGGTTAAGCGCAAAACAGAATTTCAAAACATTGGAATCATTGAGATTGGATGAACCTTTAAACTCAAAACATCTAGAATAGCTAGAAATCTTGTTGTAGAAAGTTGTAGTAAATGTTAAAAGTGGAACAGTAACTCAGAAAAGGAGGCTGAAATAGTTACATAAGAACACAATCAATGACACTAAAAGATACAAGTGTTTAATTGGTGCATGCTTTGCTGAAATTCGTGTGTGTAAAATATAGCAGGGATCAGTCACCCTTCAGGACCTAACAGTATTTAAACCTTAATAAATAGCTGTAACCATAGCTTAAATATGAAGCATATCTTCTTGGAAAAAATTAAGACATTAATATGAAAGAGAAAACTCTCAACCTGAATTACAGAAGTAACTTTCAGATAAAGCACAGCTCCTCTTAGGGCTACAAGTACCACAGCCTTTCCCTAACCCTCACGTGTGCATTTTTCAAGGTGTGCAACTCAATGACTCAAAGATGCAGTGAAGCTTGCATGGGTGTGTGAACAGATGTGGAGGGCTGGTAAGACAAAGATTTGAAAATATACAGAACAAAAAAGTATACTATCTTGGCACAGTAGTAAGATGTGGTTCAAGTCCACCAGCTGCTCCACGGGACAATGACAGGCAATCTCATCCCACACAATTCGCTACCTCTGAAAAATCCACTGAAGGTCAGCTATAAATGGGTTCCAACTTGACAGAACACCAGCATAATGATAGATTGTAGAGGTATGCCACTCTTTTCTAGTAAATTCTTAGGGCTCATGTTAGGTTTGTCCTAACATTTTGGGTATGTCAAACCAAGAATTAGGTCCTAAACATGATAATGTTCTATTCCAGGGACGTGAAAATCCATAAAGTAGTTTCAAAGCCAAAAGGCAGTTTCAACAAAAGACAGTCAAGTCAGCTTTATGCTTAAGAAAGGTCCTGGGGTCTTGCACTAAAGAGGCAAAAGGGAGCAAAACTTACCATTTAAGACCATATCTGAAAAAATCCGTGCAAGCTCTATCAGAATAGCTGTTCCTACACTGGACTTTACAGCTCCAGGACCCCAGCTATCCCGCTGGGCTCCTAGTATAACATAGTGTTCTAAAAAAAAAAAGAAATTATATAATCAACTATTTTTTCCTCAACACTGAAGTCTATAATAATAGAATACTAAAAATATTTTATAGTGTATATACTAAGAGTAAGAAAATTTTACTTCTGATGAGTACAAACTCCAAGGACTGAAAATTAACACAATGATAATATTGTTTTTCCTTAGTAGTACCATTATTTATTTCCTATATTACAAATTAATTTTACTTAGAACTTACTCATATTTACTTAATTAATCCACCAGTAGCTCCTCAGGATAAAGACAGGCAATCCCCTCATGTGACTTATAACCTGTTATCAGGTGGTTCACTAAAAAGCAGTAAGCTGGCTTTAATTGCTTAATAAACTAGATGACATGACTCTTACTTGCCTATAATAGATTTTTAATATATACCACGGATCATCTGTTATCTTGAGAGCTGATTGGCATAACTGCATCTGTGACTACTGTCTTTAATTGTTTTTTAATTATTAATTTTCATGAAAGTTTGCAGAGACTAAGGATTTCCATTCCTTCAATGTTGTACTTTTCTCCCTGCCCACCTCTCCCTCTCAATTTGCCCTTCTCTTTAAAAAGTAAAAGAAAAATTCTTTCATTGTTATACAATCCTCCCAATTCCACTCCACTATGCAGCCCTTGTTCTGGACTGTCATGACAATAATACCTAATCACATATCCCTTTTAAACAGTTTTCTCCTACAATAGTGGCATTATACAGTATTTGTCCCTCTGTGACTGAGATATTTCACTCAGCATAATCTCCTCCAGGGTCACCCATTTTGAGTAATATTGCATGAGTTCCTTGTTTTTCAATGCAGAGTAGTATTCCATTGTGTGGATATACCACAGCTTCTCTACCCATTTGTTTGTTGATGGGCACTTCCCAGTTGATGATGGGTGTTCTTCCCAGCTCTTTGCTATTGTGAACAAAGCCACAATAAACATGGGTGTGCATATATGCTTGGGTGGTAATTTGGGGTATATTACCAGTAGTGGAATTGCTGGGTCAAATGGTATCTCTATTTGCAACTGTTTGAGAAAGCGCCATACCGCTTTCCAGTGGCTACACCATTTTACACTCCCATCAACAGTAAGGGTTGTTTCTCCACAACCTCACCAGCATTTGTTGCTTGCTATTCTGTTAAATTTTGCTATTCTTACTGAAGTGAGATGGTATCTCATAGTTGTTTTGATTTGCATCTTTTAGAGCTAGGGATTTTGAACATTTCTTCATGTGCTTGTTGGCCATTTAGTTGTTTTCACACAACAGAATTGAAAACATTGCAACAGAGTGCAAGGTATGTAAAATGTTACCTCCTCTTTGCTTGTCAGTTTTTTTTATTATTAATGGTGAGAATAATTTGTATTTAGAAATTTAGACTCAGTATAGATGAGCCCAACTACTATCAATTTTTACAGTCAAATTTTAACAGATCCATTTCCTGGGTCTCTATTACCAACGAAAATGTACATTTAACCAATTTGATATGAAATTGCATGGTCTTGCATTTCACAAAGCGAAGGTAGCCTTTCTGCATTGCCCCTCTTCCTTCTTGGGCCACATCCTTCAGAGCAGCAAGAAAAACAGAGAAGAGGAAACAAAGGTCTTTACCTGGCTCCTCAAATCCCTTGATAACTCCAAAGATGTTCAAAATTCTTGTCTCTTTCAGCATATTGTTCACGACGAGCCTCACTTTCCTACCGTCCACAGACTGTTGCTTACAGGAACTCTGTGCTTGCCATGAGGGAGGACAACTGTGTTCCATATTGTCAGAGCTAGAGAAAAGGGGATCAGAGTGATTGTTACTCCCCTTATATTAAACGCCCTAGTCTCTCCTTAGTGAAGTTCTAATATATGTCATTCTGTAGGAGGCATAGCTATGGCTTACATCTGAAATACACACTAAGGTGGACGCAGAATGAAGGTGGAGCAGTGGATGCTCAGGGATATGAGGAAGGGTGAGGGAATAAACCATGACGGCTAAATGTTATTGGGCCTCTTTTTGGAAATGTTTGAAAATTGACTATGATGAGACTGCACAAAATCTGTGAATAGACTTACTAAAAAAATGTGCTCATAAATGGGTGAAATGTATGGTAAATCAAATCAATATATATCAGTATTTTCTCACGTTTCCTCTCTGTTAACAGCAAAGTATACATTCTTATCTCCATTACAAAAGCACATTCCCACACTACTTAAAGGAACTTCCCTTTGCTGGTTCTTAATGTGTTTTCTGAACAGCAACTGCTCCAGAGGGACTTATATAAGGATATGAACATAGATCTGATTCTCCACTCTATGCTATTACATAAGAAATGTACCCACGTCAAGGTAAAACTTACTAATGACATTATCTAACAGATTAGTTTTAAAGTGGGACTAGAATATCATAACCCTACGAAGCTAGAAACTGTTAGAACTAAGACTGTCAGTCTGTATATGTAAAGAAATCTGAATTGTTTTGTTACTAAAATGAAAACTCAGAATGAATAGATGCCACAGGGACCATCACTAACAGACATTCAGTAATAGGGTGAGTTTCCAGTGGCAACAGAGCATTCACCATGGAAAGCACTCAAGTTAGATTAGCCCATTTTTTTCCCTTCTCTTACTTTCCTTTTCATGAAAAGGGTTAAGGCAATAACAGAGGCATAGCTAATGAAAGAGGCAGGCCACACAGAAGAGTTAAAGTAAAAAAGAGAAAAGGTGTCAAGGACCCAAACCTTACAGCATGCTGTCAGCAGAAAAGGAAAGAGCTAGAACATTCTTCCTTGAGAATGAATCACCAGGCAAGAATGCATTAAATTACTTAAGCATCACTTCTTCTTAAGATAAATCACTTAAGTGACAAATGATAAATATAATTTAATATCTTAAGTAAGATATATTAATGGGGGAAATCAATAGGAGCAGTGAGATAGGGATGGGGGTGGGGGTAGATTTCATTATCACTTATACAAAGTGAACTATCCCAAAATTATAAAAATTGTGGAGAAGAATAGCCAGTCATTTAGGATTCAAGCACACCCATTTCTACAGCTGATTACTCTTAATTATAAAACTTTAACTGCAAGACACTTACAAATAACGTACCTAAAGAGTTGTTCTGCAGCATATCTGGAAATTGTCTGTACAGGTATATTAGGCAATCCTGACGACTTAGATGGGGGGAACTGAGTATGGTTGAAGGAAGGGAATCCAGGTGTGTAAGGGTCGCCTGTTCCCAGATGAGCCTATTAAAAAAAGAGTCATTAATTCTATCAGGCAGTTATTCAAGAACTTCTCTATAACATTCACATTCAGTATAAGACTCAAGTTTAGAACAGGTCTTGCTTACTGCTAGAACTCTTCCAGAAAAGGATTCACAGAAAACTCATTTACTCAAGTAAGAACTCACATGTCCAAAGAGTGAGAGATGTGCATCAGGAATAGGAAAGTCGGTACTGTCCATGTAGATCAAGACCCCAGTTGCATTGAAGCGTTCAGCATTTGCAACCTAAGAATAAGAACATGTCAAGAAAATAAATGAAGACCTGACAATAACAAAATAGAAGGAATACAAGTGGGCTTTATGGCACAGGTGATTTGCTGTGGCAGAGGGCTACCACATGTAAACAGACACTCAAATGTTTCCAAATAGCTTAGGGAGAGGGGGAATATTCTTTGAATTTAGAAGTTAAAAAACCTTGGCCACTAGCCAAAAAGGTAGATGGTGAATACACCAGTGGCTCCACATGATGAGGCAACTTACAGTTCAGTTTAATTTTATATAGACACTGTATAAGCTGCTTTCCTTTATTTTCCTGAAAGGAAAAGACTACAAAATATGAACATGTTGTAATTTTAAATTATATGACTTTTAGGAAATTGGGATTTAATTATTGAACATTTTGATAAATTTTATTGTCAGGTATGTGTTCAGAATTGTTATTCAGAAAATTAGTAAATGTCATTTGACTAAAGAATGTTATGACATCAATGTGTTTAGTAACTCCACACTCACCTTTTCAGCAAAAGTGATTTTGCCTGCTCTAACAATCACGACACATCCAGACACAGGATAGTTCAACTGTTTAAAGTCTTCCTCAGCCCCAAAATTAGCATGAACCAGTTTACCCTAAAACAAAGACATTAGTTCTAATGAGTACTGTGGTATAACAGTCACAGAATCTGAGACAAGAAAACCAAGAAGGGGAAAAACAGGCCAAGGTCTAGAAATAATAAAGGGTTCTAAAGGTAAAACTGGTTAGAAATGAAGGTCTTCTAGTCATTATTGCATGCTTGATGCTAGTCTAAAAAGATAAAAATAGGAAGGGCACTCTGATGGCCTAGTGGCAAGAAACTGTGTTGCAATCCCAAAGGCACGAGTGGTTTGAGGCCACCAGGGGCTCCGTAGAAGGATGGACAATCTCCTGTGTGATTAACTGTCTCTGAAATCCTGCTGGAGGGTCAGCTATGGGTCAGTTCTGACTTGACAGCACACCATAACAAAAGTGATGTACACCAATATAATTACAGGCTTGTAGAAAAGCAGGAATTACCCCTTGAGACTATAAGTACATACACATCAACAGGCTTTAATGCAAAGTCTGACCATAAGTTCTGTAAGTCTGTCCACAAATATTAAACACATTATAATAAAAATTTGCATGCCAACTTTTCTTTTAGCATAATAATATTTCTAAACTAACAGTTCAGATGAATGGCTGCAAACTGATATTAATGGCCAAATATCTGAACATAGACTGCAGGTGAATTAAAATCTTTCCACTTCTAAATCCCTAGTATGTAGCCTAGGGAAAATACAGGACAGACAACCAGGAGATAACAGCCTGACTTGGTAGATACTCGCTAGATGTATGTCCCTGAAGCACAAATAGAGTTACCTAAATTTTAAAAGATCACACAGTAAAAGAACCAAGCTGAGATAGTCACAGTCTATAGTTATTTACATTTGTTCTCACATGAGAAAAAAAATCCGACATATATGTACTAATTCAGCAACTATTAGTCAAGTGCTATCCCCAAAGTCTGGGATATGGAAGTAAATGAAAACTCAGCCTTCTCCATAGAGCTTATAATCTAGTATGCAGTAAAGTCAACATATACTGGTGCTAGTTTTATGAAGAAAAATACAGCAAGAAAGGCAAAAGTGATAAGAATGATGACTTTAGGAAGAATTCCTAAAATGCGATTACAGCAGAGAGAAAACTTGCACCAAGAAGCAGCAAGCCATGTTGATATTCAAGCAAGTGAGGCACAGGAAGACAAAAAGGCAAATATTAAGGCCCTGAGGTGTGACCACAGTGTTTTTGGAAGAGCAAGGTCAGGGTGGCCAGAGAATGATTAGAGGAGAAGAGCTGTGGGAGTATTTAGGGCCTCGTATATCAAGTAGAAGATAGCTAATTGTGGCCGAAAGACACTGGAGGGGTGGGGGGAACCAGAAGTTGGCAGGGAATCCCAAGAAAATGTCATAGTTAATCCAGCATTATGGATTGTATTATGGTCCTCTCGGTCAGCCAATTCACTGGAGATCCTGACCACCTGTGATTGTTAATCTAGGAATGTATCTTTTTGATAAAAAAGGCATTAAGTGAACAAAATCAGAAAGGAAGGCAACTTTATGAAGCTCGCCAAGGAATGCAATGGTAAAGGCAATGAGTTGGGGTTTATTTCAACAGGAAAGATAAACTTACAGTAACCATCCCAGTTGCACTGTATGCCACATAAGCTTCCGGATTCTCCAGGTGCGATATAGTGGTCTCGTTTACACCTACTATTGTCACTGAGTTTTGCGAGTTGCTTTAAAAAAAAAAAAGGACATTAAAATGACGTCAAAACCACCTTTGGGGGTTTTAATACAGTTCACTGTATTAGCTGGCTTAAGGAAATTTAACTCATAATTTTGACCCAAGTTTCACTTAGAAAATCCTTCTATATTTAGTACTTATTCTAGAAGTTCACCACCTTTCAACACACCTGCTTGGAACCTGAATCTTAACATAATGTTCGTCACGCCACACTTTGCTCAGTTTCAGGTTAGTGAATTTACGTTCGATATAAAGTGCCAGGTTTTCCTCTTTTACAGATCCAGCCTCACGAGGGACATAGACATTTTCATTTAGGAGTCTGGAAGAAAAAGTCCACGGTTAAAGCAAATAGTTTAATTTAAAATAAACAATTGAAGGATCATATTTAAAAATTTCAAGGCATAAAGTACCACTGAGTTGGATACAAGTAAATGAAATTTTGCCCAATTCTGTGCCATCCTCACCATCTCCACTATGTTTAACACACTGCTGTAGTCATTGTATCAATCCATATTGTTGAGGATCTTTCTCTTTTTTCCTGATCCTTAAACTTTGACAAGGAATGGCTACTCCTGACAACATGTCCAAAGGACATGAGACAAAGTTTCATCAACTCTGGTTGCACTTCTAAAACAGATTTGTTTATTCTTATGTCCAGTTCATGGGATATTGACCATTCCTTGCCAACACCACAATTCAAATGTATCAGTTCTTTTCCAGTCTATTTGTTGTCCAGCTTCCACCTGCATATGAAGCAACTGAAAACATCATGGCTTCAGTCAGGCACTTAGCGTTATTTCAATGAAAACTGTAAGTTCTTATCTACTTCAAAACATTAGGAATCCTCTGAAAGCAGACATTTTCGCCTCTCCTCATAGAGCCCCGCCTCTCGGATAATCTGCTCTGCACACAGGTTGAAAAGGTATGGAGACAGGACACATCCCTGACGTACACCCTTCCCAATTTTGAACCATGCAGTGTTGCCCTGGTCTGTTCTGACTGCCTCTTGTTGGTCCAAGTATAGGTTTTGCATTGGCACGATTAAATGTTCTGGGATTCCCATTCTTCTCAGAGTCAGCCACAGTTTGTTATGATCCACACAATCAAATGCCTTTGCATAATCAATGAAACACAGACATTCTTCTAGTATTCTCTGCTTTCAGCTAAGATCCATCTAACATCTGCTACAATATCCCTAGTACCACGACCCCTTCTAAACCCAGCCTGGACTTCTGGCAGTTCTCTGATGTACTGTTCCAGTCGTTTTATCAAAGTAATTATCAAAGTAATCCGTTTAGTCACTTTAAGTTCATACTGCCTGCGCACAGTACACAGCAAAGTATTCACTGAGTAAAAAATGTGCCAATATTTAAGCATAAGACTGTTAAGTGCTGTCAAGTCACAGGCGACTCATAGCGACCCTATTAAGGAGAGTCCTCAATGCTTGATCTTAAGACTAGAAAATGTAAAAGATGAATTTGTTCTTTACACACAGAATTAGATAGGCCCAAGGGTTATGGGGTAATGGGGGAGGTGTGTCAGAGATAATAAGTCTGGCACAGGATAGCAAGATTTAGGGCTGCTGTACACAGGGTCCCTATGAGTCGCAGGCGACTCAATAGCATACAACAAGGGATAGGGACCTCTCCAAAATACTGAAGCAGTTATAAGTTTGAAGACTATAAGTTACCAGACTATGATCTTTTTAATCACTTGCTATACATCTGAGAGCTGAACAATAAGTAAGAATGACAAAAGAATTGACGCCTTTTGAGCTGTGTTGTTGAAGAGTACTGAATACTACCCTATGGACTGGCTAAGGGACATGCAACTATGTTCTGGATTAGGGGCAGCCAGGGTGCTCTTTGGAGGCAAGAATGGCAACACTTCCTCAGTCTGGACATGCTGCTAGGAGAGGCTGTTCCTTGGAAAGGAGGATCATGCTTTGAATGGTGATTGGTCAGCAAAAGAGGACGACAACAACAGGTTCGAGTGTATCAGAGACGGTGAGGGTGGCACAGATTTGTAGTTGGCACTACCGCAGCTAACAAGGAAGATGAGACAGATACAAGGACAGAACCTTTAAGGAACTTTCTGGAATACAGATTAATGGATAGCAGTATGAATCAAGGAATACTAAAGATTAAAATGGGCAAAAAATAAGTGGGAAGATGACCTAGTGGCAATTCTCTGCTGGCACTTAGCAAAAAAAGAAAGCAAATGTCTTGTCATTCTTCTTTTTATAATGTATCTAATATCATATAATGCATCTAATATCTGTTCAGATGCTCAGGTTAATCTATTTCAAGCTTACTTGACGGTGCTGGTAAAATCTGTGGTACTCAGTTTCTGTGATAAAATTTTCTTGAGGTCTCCCCAGAATAAATGAGTTGATACAGGGAAGTCATCTATATTACTGGTTTCTGAAGCCTCTGTCGTTGGGGCCACAGACTCTGCTTCTGCTGATCCCTCACAGTTTGCTTTCGGTTGCACGCGATTACAAAAGCCCAAGTAACCAATCATAAATCCTATAAAGAGAAAACAGGTTTAAAAAGATGAAAATAAAATGAACTAATTTATTCTTCCCTTCTGGAAGGCAGTTTGGCGCTTCCTCAAAAAGCTGAACATAGACATTCCATAACCCAGCTATTCCACTACTTGGAATATACCCTGAGAATATGAGAACTGAAGCACAAACTGAAATTTGTACAGCAGCATTATTTACCATTGCAAGAAAATGGAAATGAACCAACCACAAATGGAGAGTTTATAGTACATTCACACAATGGAATACTATGCAGCATGCAGAAGCAATAACTTTGTAAATTATTACCTAACTTGGGAGGGACTGAAGAGCATTATGCTGAGTGAACTCAGTCCCACAAGGATAAATATTGCTTAAGACTGTTATTGCAGAATGAGTGTAAGGATCCAGGAGGGGTAGGGGAGGCTGGAAGCAATGTGGATGGATGTACACGGGGAATTAGTCACTGGACTGTGCAATTTGATAGGTTGGGGGGGTGTGTGTGAGGGAATTTGTATTAGAATTTTATAAACTAGTAAAAATTTAGGAGAAAAGAAATTTAATCACAATCTTACTTTTTATCTTAGGCCCTGGACTACTCTATACATCGCTATAGACTGATATGCTTTATATTTACTTTTTATATGGAATACATTAATATAACATTATATATGCTCAGAATTAAAGACTACTGTTTTTGGAATACAGACCACTGTATATAAATGCATTACTGTAACTGCAAGTCTATATCATCTAGTTTATTTTGGGTATATTTTGTCAATTAGCAACTCCACCTAATGCTTTAAAGTAGCTTAAAATTGTCTTAATGGAATAAAGATGTACTCTAAAAACCAAGAAAAAAAAATCTTACATTGTTATCTTTCCTGCCTAGCAAGCACAATGGAACTTAAAAGGGTAGATAACAAATATATGCTAAGCTGAATCACCAGACATCCCAAAGTTAGAGAACAATTAAGTTTTGGATGACCATTCTTACCAATCAAGAAAAAGAGGATTACGGCAATAACACCATAGCAGAGTTTATTAAACTTTCTTGGTTTTCTGGCATTGGCAGGTTTACGCCCCATGTTATTGTCAACACTGTCTTCATCTGTAGCTAGTTTCATCTCGACATGGCTGTTATCACTATCTACGTGTTGAGTCAGATTAAAACGGGAATAAGACAATGGCTCTCCAAGCTGAAATTTAAAAAAAAAGAAAGCATTAAAGAGACAGTAAGAAGAAAGACATTTATTGAAAGTTTAGTTAGATACCACACCTGTTATTGTGTTCTTAGTATGGTTCAATATACATTCTTTACTTTAACTCGGATGTGAATGGCACAAGAGGAGATCTGCCCCTCCCAGCAGAGCATCTGGTGGAATTGAACTGAGCGCCTTAGGGATTGCAGAGCAGCTTCTTCCCAGTAGGCCAACAGAGCTCCCTTTCAATATACATTCTTAAGGGAGAAAAGTTTCTTTTTCAAACCAGTGCTCTTCCATGCACCTCGATTTTTTAATGACATAAGTACTCATTTAAAGTTAACTCTTACATACGTTGGCTAGTATACATCAATGGGGGTTTTCTTTAGTTAGGATAACTCTTCTAAACTTCGATTTTCTAAAACTAACCATACTCTAAACTAAGTACACTCTTCCTTTTGTGGACCACCAGTTCAAAGGCAAATCAATACCTGATAGTAGCCTTGGGTGGTATTTCATGCTTACTACACCAAAGTTGGTGGAATACTAGTAGCACAGGCTAAAAAATTGCTGGTTCGAACCCACCAGCTGCTGCTCTGTGGGAAAAAATAGCCTACTTCCATAAAGGTTTGCTACCTTGGAAATACTACAGGGCGGTTCCACTCTGTCTTATAGGGTTGCTGAGTCAGAAGTGACTCAATAGAAGTGGGTATGGTTTAGTGCTATGTCCAAGCTGCATTTATGTAATTTACATTTTTACAAAACTGTGACATAACAGAATTTAACAGATCTTACCAAGTTCGAGATTGTTGCCCGAGCTTGATCCATCATTCCAAGCTCCCAGAGCAACCTAGTATTAGAAGAGAGTAGAGTCAGATATTAAAACATCATTGTACCCAATTATTACCAGATAAGTAGTAAATTTGAAAATGAACTATGTTATGGGTAAAGGGCAGTTTACTAAAGTTTAGATTTTAGGAGCACAAGAGAGGACATGAGGTCTTTAACTTACAAATATCTTGGTAAAAAAACTTAAGGAAAAGAGTAAATATGAAAGTGTTCATAATAACACAATCTAGGTAAGGGTTCACTGTAGAAGAAAATCTTTTAGAATGTAATCCATGGTAAAAAAATTTAAGACAAAGTATGGGGGAGCAAAGAAAAGAGAAATGTTCATGCTACAAAAACTAGGAAGTAAACAGGAGAATGCCTTCTAATGACTCAGAAAAGCTGCTGGAGGCTTGCCTATGAGCCAGTTCTAACTAAATGGAACACAACCTAACAAATGAAAAATTTCTTTAATGGGGCAGGGGGAAGAAGACTAAAAAACCCAGTTTATAGATAACTGCCTGGGAGAGTCGCTCAAGGTCAAAGTGTTAATCTAAAACTAAATCTAAAGTTCAATAAATTATAGTGTTCTCAGCTCTATAAAGTCAAGAATTTTGTTTGTCAGAGCATAAGAATGCACCTCTGTGACCAAAAATTCCATATATTAACATAGGTATTAAGGGAAATCTTAATATTCCGACTAATTTGATTTGCAGCTATCTAGACTCTTGGAAGTGATACTATAGTGAGATTTAATACTGGCATTTATTGAATACAATCTACTTTTTAATAAAAGTTTTATACAAGTAAGTTTTTTTATACAAGTAAGCACTTTAAATACCCATCTGGCACAAAGCAAGCTATGACATAGAAACAGATTGTAAAATCCAAAACATTGGTATTATAAGAAGTCCCCTAACTAAAATTTATCAGGAGAAAAAAAAATCCTCAGGGTTTTTTTTTTTTTAAGAGCAGAGTTAAAAAGCAATAGATTATATTCTTAGAAGCATAGTATCTTACTCCTTCTGGTATAAAAACCTTATCAGTCCCACTGCACAAGAACTCTGCAGACCCAATCGCAAGAGCCAGAACTAGACACCCCACCCTGAACATCAATTTCAATCACCCTTTTCTAGGAAAAACTAGCTTACAAGTCTAACACAGATCTGAAACAGCCATTCCTCAAGTTTTACCATTTTACACAAAAAACCATTAAGGAGTAACTATTGCAACCTAGCCAAATCTCATTCTTTAACTCCACATCACATTAATCCTGATAGTCATAAGTTCTTCCTGAATTTTTTAATACATAACATTTGAGTGATTATTTTAAAATGACCTCAAATACAGTCAAAGTTTTCTATTTAAAAGGATCACTTTTAAAGTTTTCTTCCAACTCAAATCATTCTAGTAAATCCTATCTGGAGACAGGTAGTTTCCAAAGGATCACAACTACTTCACATTAAGTGTCCTTTTAATGTGTTATGTATAAAAACTTCAGGAAGAATACCTTCATTACAAGAAACAAATGTCACTTTGACTTAATTTCTATTTTTTTTAAAAAACCAACAAACTCATTGCTCTCCAGTCGGAAATGACTCATAGCTGACCCTTCAGCAGGTCTTAAGAGGCTATAAACTGCATTAAAAGAGACTGCCTAACTTTCTCCCTTGGATTAAACTAAAGGATTCAAACAACTTGCCTTTGTGTTGGCAGTGCAACTCCTTAGCCACTAGGCCACTGAAACATTTATCAGAGAAAAAAACCCTATCTAATATTAATACAAAGTAAGATAAGCAAAACAGTCCCATATATTTTGAACCATGAAATGGAGAGTGGATCTGAAATATTACAGAGACATAGGATGGAAGATGGGAGGCAGGAGAAGATAGATAGGACTAGAGACCTAAACTTCTTTCAAACGCAAGTATCTTATTAATAATGTATTTTGGTTAATTTTTAATTTCAATATGGACATTCATAGTTTTTAAAAAAATCTATTAGCCTGATAGTGAAAACAATATTCCTCTGCTTTTCCTTTACCATTCCTGGTTTTTCCTTTGTTCAGACAACCACTCTCAGCTGTTTATCTTAGCTACTTCCATTTTTCTGAACATGTTTATATTGTTTTAAAAAATTTTATCTTGCAGATTTTGCAATGACTCCATTATACCCATTTTTCAATGTGTACCACTAGCCGTAACCTGACTAGCAGTACTGAGGCATGCAGGGTAGTTTTAGAACATGGCCTATCTTCCCTTACATTCATAATTGCCTCAGATTTTTTCATCACTAACTCAAACCTACAGACTCTTTGAAAATATGTCAGGTACTCCGTTTAAATTTGGCATCTGGAGACATCTCACCTGAACTTTTCCTAGATACTTAATTTTAATCCCCCTACTCCCTCCTCCTTTAATATGGTTATATTCATCTTAGCAAATTTATAACATATTTAAACACCTTTTGTACATCTTTAACTTCCCATTTTATAAGGATACCAGTATCCAGTCCTTCACATCCTCATTTGCCACACGCCAATTACATATGCATTCTATTTTATACCCACAAAAGCCATCATATGTATTCTATTTTATATCCACAAGTAAATGAAAACCATAAATATTTGCATTATTTTACTTGTTTTATTAATTGAAGTTTCTGAACTGATTTCTTATCTTTGGCTTCAAAGTCTTGATCTACCTACCACTGCTTAGACACGGAAATAGGATCCATGTTGTTCAAAATATTGCTGCATTTTCCATTTCTTGGTAAGATGTTTCTCTGGTAGAGGTCACGCCTGCTCCATCTATTCTTGTCATTATTTTCTTTTGTAGAAAATATTATATTCCTAGCATCTTTACCTGTATTTTTTGCTTAGAGTTTAAAAAAACCTCAGAACTACACAATCTCACTGCCTAGGCGTCAGAACTGACTCAAGAGGAAATTGCTCATCTTTCAGAGGTGCTGATGGATTCGAACCACACACCTGCACTCTTGTTCATGTATTTTTAAGTTCACCTTGCTTCATAAAGATCCCCATGGGTCTTTAACTTAAGCTTGCCTCCATTCCTGGAATTACAAATTTTTAATCACTGGGTTTCTGCTAGAGTCTACGTTAAGATCAGCCAAGGCCAGGGAGGGAGTCACTCGAAAGATCTCTGGCTCCTCACTCCGCTGCCCGCCAACAAGTGCTGGACCCAAACTTAATCATAGGTCTGTACATGCACCTGCAAGCGGATGTAAATCTCAGAACCTGCGATGTAAAAATGTAGTTTATGTGCAGCTGCCAGGCCATGTTAAGTAGGCTAGCAGGGTGAAGTGTCCTTTGCAAAGACCATGTGCAAGCTTGACCTCCAGGCTGAAGAGTGACAACTCAAGGTCCAGGGGATTAATGGCTGAATGAGAGGCCAAGTTTGCCTTACTCAGACCATCAACACGTACTCACCACAAGCCAAAGCACTATTTTACTTGAAATAAACCACTTGGTTTACAAACCTCTTTCCAATTCAGAAAACTGGCCCATTTAAGAGCTCACAAAGAATAACATTTTTTTCCGCATCCTTGAAGCTGTTTTAGAGAGATCTTCACTACCTAAAAACTTAACTGGCCTGGATTTTCTCCAAAATAAACCAGAATCAGCCACACACTCTATGAAGCCTGTGACAGCTCTCATGGTTTCTTTAACATCTACTACCTACCACTGGCAATTAGTTATTGTCAAGAAGTATCAAATGAATTCTGGTTTTAACCCATGTACAACAGAGGAAACATGGCGCAGTCCTGTTCCATCCTCCCAATAGATGCTGTTTGAGCCCACTGTCGCAGCGCTATGCCAATTCATCTCTTTGATGGTCTCCCTCTTTTTGCTGAACCCTCTTTACTTTGCCAAGTGTGTTGTCTGCAGACACTGGTCCTGTCTGATAATTTGAAGGAGTAAAAAAAACAGTTCATAGCCTAACAGTATCAGAACATTCATGATGTGCCTAAGGTTACACATGATTTGAATGAAGACCTTGGACCAATTCTTCTCCCATCTCAGCCTGAAATCAGCTGGACACCGGCAGTTTGGGGTAAAAGGATTTTTAAAGTAGAAAACTTGGAGGTGTACCAGGGAAGTCTTAGATTTCAAGCAACTGTTTTGATATCCATTATGCAAATGAACTGTTCATTTGTCCAATGGAAAAAAATCATTTGAACCTACACAGCTCTTAATACCTGTGCATACCTAGCACTAGCTTGATACAGGATGATCAAAGTATTCCCTAGTTTCAAGAACTTCCTAAAAGAAAAGGACAGTTAAATAAAAGCAAGCAGTTTTCTGAAAAGGTATGCTCACTGTGAAGGTCAGAACCACTTAAGACATTGCAACCTATTTACGCCGTGCTCATCTTGGATGAGCATGAATAATAGAGTTCTAAGAGGCTTCACAAGTTCACTATTACCTCACGTTCACTGCTGACTCAGGCTTATCTGGGGACCTTGATAAATGTACTATCAGAAGAAAGTAACTGCCTCTCCTTCGGGCCGAGTCAACTTAGTACTCTTTTCTTTAACCAACAATCTTCAGCGCAGGCTACCAAGTCTCAGGTACAACTGCTTAAAAATAACATCCCAAAGAAAGGTTAAATGATACTATAGTCTTTTGAAAATATTCCACATTGGTAACATTTTTTAAAACTCTAGATTTACTTATGAAGCATAAATAGGTTTATCATCCCCAAAATCAAAAACTAAGTCAGTAACTCATTACCTCCGAGTCGGAACTGACTCATAGGTGACCCTCCAGAGGATTTTGAGGTTGTAAAACGTACAGGAGACCAGGAGACCTGTCGGCTGCTGGGCTGGCAGTGCTAACTCCCTAAATACTAGCCACCAGAGTTCTCTATAATTCAAAATGGAAAAGGGGGTAGGGTGGAGGGAGAGCAGGGGAAAACCCACCTCAGGACCAACACTTTGTGGTGCAAATTGTTCAGCCTTGACTGCTAACCAAGAGTAACTGTTTGAATCCA